GAGAGAGAGAGAGAGAGAAACACAACCCCGTCACCTGCTCAGGTGTCTCTCAGACAATGTAGCCGGGTGCACCTATCTCCCCACACATCTCTAGGGCAGAGACGGGAACAGGCCCAAATTCTGGATACCCCATATAGTCAGCCACGTATCACTGCGGCCCTAGTGCTCTCCACAGGGCCCCTCAGCCTGGAGGAAATATTGCTAGGTAGTGGGTGCTATATGAACTGGCCAAGGCCTATGTACTAGGAAGTAGGAAGAGGTACGCTGCACTAATATATCCAAGGCCCTAGCAGCCTCCGGCTGGAATTTCTTGTGGATGGTCCAGCAGTTCAGGCACTAGTTTAGGACTTGGGAGATCTGGAATAAAGTCCCTGCTCTGCCACAGACTTCCTGTGTGACCTTGGACGAGTCACTGGGCCTGTATGTGCCTCAGTTTCCTCATCTGTACAGTGAGAATAGCAGCACTGCCCTTCCCCACAGGGGCGCATGAGGTTAGATACAAAAGAGATTGAAAGAACTCAAATATGATGGTGATGGGCCACATACATACTTTAGATAGATCACTCCTAAGTGAGCATGTCCCACCAAGAATGAAGCAGAGACACTGGGAATATCAGCTCTAAAAGGGACCACATGGATCACCTCCGCCACCCCCAGAGAGGGAACATGTAGAGGGGATCCACCGAGGAGGAACACGTACCTCCGAGCAAAGCTTCCCAAACTGCTGCTGGAAAAACCGCTGTCCCTGCAGGAACTGACGCACCATTGATTCACCACTGGGAAGATTCCCATCCTGGAAGACAATGGCAACTGAGGAATTCTGTGCAGATCGCCTGCCCCACTTGCCAGCAGAGAAAGGAGAGTGGCCACCCCAGTAACATGCACCCCATGGCAGCCCCAATCCATACAGCTCCCAGCTGAGACACTGCAGTCATGTATGGTCATGACACACCCTCCAGAGGGGTGAGGGAGGGCAACAGAGTCTGGGGAGAGGGAAGAGCTTGTTGACAATATAGCTGAGGGTACTACTGGGTTATGGTTCCAGGGTATAAGGCTGCCTAATCTAGAGTTAGGGGTACACAGCGTAGGACTCCCTGGAATAGGATTAGAATTACAGTTGGTAGGACTCCCAAAGCTAGTGTTATGGTTCCAGAGGGTCAGGCGCCCAAGGCTAGGGTTCACATGGATACGACTCCTTCAGCTAGGGTTGGGTTCCAGAGGGCAAGGCTCCCCAAGCTAGGGTTAGATTTCCAATGAATAGGATGCCCCGACTAGTGTTAGGTTTCCAGAGGTTAGAGCTCCCCAAACTAGGGTTAGTGTTTCAGAGGGTAGGGCTGCCAGGGTTAGGGTTCCAGAGGTAGGGCTCCCCAAACTCAGATTAGGATTCCATCAAGTAGGGCCAGCCCAAGCTAGGGGTAGGGTTCCAGAGGGTCAGGTGCCACAAGCTAGGGTTAGGGTTCCAGAAGGTAGGACTCTGCAAGCTTAGGTTAAGGTTCCAGTGGGTAGGGCTCCTCAATTTTGAGTTCTAGAGGGTAGGCTTCCCCGGTTAGGGTTCCAACAGGTAAGGCTCACTGAGTTAGGGTTCTAGCAGGTAGGGTTCCCTGGGTTAGGGTTCCTGAGGATAAGGTTCCCTAGGCTAGGGTTAGAGTTTCAATGGACAAGACTCCCCAAAGCAAGGGTTAGGGTTCCCAGGGAGAGGACTCCCCAAGCAAGGGTTAGGGTTCCCAGGGTAGGGCTGCTGTGAGAGAACTTGATGTGATATAACTCGCAGCCATGTTGTTCACTTAGGCCCCCATAAACTGTAAGCGAGGACACCAGATAGGAATAATCTGGCCTTGCTTAAGCAGACAGAACAAAAAAACCTGCAAGCTGCAGTTTCACTGGCTGGGACAGATAAAGTGAAAGGACAGATTCATGAGAAGGTGTGTGGGTGAGGGAAACATGGAAAACTGACTCTGATTCTGGTTGTCTGTTTGTGTCAGTTTTTTTTGCTGAAGCTGCTTTGCTTATATGGAGAATAATGAATGGTTATTGAATTGTTATTGGCTGTTGCTAGGGAAATTGTTAGCCTATTAGAGGCTATTATGAGTTATGCGCTTTGTCTGGAGAAAATCTAATAGTTAGAAAGCATGCTTTGGAGCAGTCAGAGGAAGCTTTTCTTCAGGCAAGGAGCCGACACCTAAACTCCCCATCAGCTGGATAGAAAGGCCCCCAGAAGGCTGGCTGGTGATCACTCAAAACCATTTCAGACTTTGGGTAAATATAAATGTTTGGAATGCTCTAGTCCTACTGCTGAAGCATTTATATGTGTGTGCGCTTCAGACCTAATAAAAAAGTAGTTTTAGGTAAAAGCACTCTTGTTCGTGCCAATCATTTATCAGATGGAAGAGCTATGTCCCCATTGATTTATTCCTGACACTGCCTGGAGAGAAACAGTTAAGTTGCCACTGCAGTGCTGTGGGTTCTGAAAACCCAGGGTAACAGGGCTGCCCAAGCAAGCATTAGGATTCAAGATGGTATGACTCCCCAAGCTAGGGTTGGGGTTCCACAGGGTAGGGATCCCCAAGGTAGCATTAGGGTTCCAACAGAGAGGGCTCCCCACACTATATTTAGGTTTCCAATGCATAGGACTCCCCTGGCAAAGGTTAGGGTTTCAGAGTATAGGGCTCTCCAGGATATATTTAGGTTTCCAAAGGGTAGGGGTCACTGTGCTAGGCCCCAACACCTAGGATTAATGTCCCAAAGGGTAGGGGTCACTGTACTAGGCCCCAACGCCTAGGATTAATGTCCCAAAGGTAGGGGTCCCTGAGCTAGGATAAGGGTTCTAAAGGGTAGTGGTCTTCAGGTACCATTAGTGTTCCAAATGGTAGGGTTAGGGTTACGTTTCCAGAGGGGAGGGATCCCCAGGCTAGGGTCTGGGTTCCAAAACCCCTCCCACGATTTCCCTTGAGGGTCTGAGCAAAAGAATATGTTAAGAGAAGGCATCTGAGACTCAGTAACTGATCTGTTAGAGAGAAGACTCAGAGGGCGATGCAAAAGGGCTGCTGCGATCTTACCATTTCTACCCAGGTGCCACCAACAGGTATGAATCGTCCCTCTTTGGCATAGTCCTGAATCTGAGCGTACAACCCAGGATACCAGTTCCTCACCCATTCAAACTGCTGGGCCTGCAAAGAAGACCGAGCCATAAAGCACCCGGAGACTATTCTAGAGATTATCCAATTTGTCTAAAGCTTCTGGCTCACAGCAGCTGCAAACCTGAATTTTTAGCAGGCATTGGAGCTCAGTGCAAATAGGACTGGTCCCAGACCTGGCAGGACAGCTCTCTGCTGCCAGGTAGGAGGCTTGGGCTGAAATCTGCACCTGGCATCTGGGGTTGGGAGCATGGTAGAAGCAACTTGGAGACCAGGGATAGAGAAGTCCCTTGCATAGCAGCCCCCCTCCCAGCCACTTACCATGCTCCTTCGAATATGCACTAACCTTCCTTTTGTCTTTGCTTCAAGAGTTTTGCTGCCCACCTGGGAGCAGAAGATGACAACTCACCTGCGAGCAGACAAACGTGAACTCCGGGTTCTTCTCCATCAGGCGTATGACGGTCACCCAGCTGCGAGCACACTTGCGGATAGACTCCTCGTATGGCCACAGCCAGGCTGCAGGGACAGAAGCAGGCTGAGCTCACTGTGGCCACATGGCCGTTCCATTTTAAATGGCCATTGTTTTATATACACACACAGCCTGCCACCTGCCAATGCCCATTCTGTGCTGCCTTCTCCTGGCTGGAAAGACACAGCTGAGCCTTATCACAGCTATGAAAAACGTGTCACAGACCATGAAATCTGGTCTCCCCCGTAAACTTCGATCTTTTGTGTACTTTTATCCTGTACTATATTCTTTTATATTATAGGGCAAAAGTATATACAAGTACATAGCATTTCTCAAACGGGAGGTCCCAACCCAAAAGAGGGTCTCAAATCTGTTATATAGGGGTTGCAGTATTGCTACCCTTACTTCTATGCTGCCATCAGAGCTGGGTGGCCGGATAGCGGCAGCTGCTTGCCAGACACCAAGGTCTGAATGCAGTGCCGCTGCCAGCGGCAACACAGAAATAAGGATGGCATAGTATGGTTTTGCCACCCTTACTTCTACGCTACTGCTGCTGGTGGCACTGCCTTCAGAGCTGGGTAGCTAGAGAGCAGCGGCTGCTGGCCAGGAATCCAGATCTGAATGCTGCGCTGCTCCAGCTATCCAGCTCTGAAGGCAGCCAGAAGTAAGGGTGGCAATACCGCGACCACCCCTACAATAGCTTTGCAACCCTATTTTGGGTTGGGACCCCCAGTTTGAGAAACACTGACTTAAGGGCTTTACATGTTTGTATTTTGCCATTTTTCCATACATATTCATGCTTTGTTACAACTCCGTGAAATTTAAGATTTAAATATCTGAAATCGTGACATTCAAGATTTTTAAAATGCTATGACCGTGAAGTCATAGCTTAGTCCACAAAAATGGACTGTGAATTTGATATGGCCCTACTCATCCGGGATCCAAGCTGTGCTGCCTTTACAAGAATCAACCACTGCGGGATGTGAAGACATGGGAAAATCACACTATTAAAATGTCAATGGATTGAAGCATGGCAGTAAGTCCTGAAGAGTCCTCAGATCACGGGGCTGCTGCCTGTCCTGGATACCTCACTTCCTTTTCCCACAATAGCGTGACTAGGGAAAACCCCACTGGGAATTTGAAATCTAGGGGCCAGGCAAAGGAAGTAAGGAATGGGCATGGAAGGCTTTGACATGCCCCTTTGTAAAGGATGCCTTCCAGCCCTGTGGTAAGTCACCATCTCCAGCCAGGCTGAAACGGCTACATACATTTTGTAGCTGATAACTGAGATTTCCCTGTCCCTTCCCCTAGAGGCTCAGAGCATCACTTCTACAGAACACTCAGTGCCTGCTCAGCTGAGAACTGCTCCCCTCTGGCAGTACCCAACATCACTGGCCAGCCCTAACCACCCACAGGCCTTTCAGTAAGCACGCATCCCCTGGACCCATTCTTACCAGAATCGATGTGGCAGTGGCCCATAGCATGGATGGTGTGCTGGCTCTCGCCATTCTTCTGGCTGAAGATGGAAGAGGCGAGGTGACGCACTGCAGGGAAGGTACAGGAGTCCGTGACATCAAGCAGGTTAACCATCTGATTGGCCACGTACAGTGCCTGGAAGCTCCGCTGGTTTTCCTCCCCAAGGAGCTGAGGGAGGGCAAGAGTGAGAAGAGAGAGACACTTAGCTCAGCAACTCTCATATTGGACAGGTTGAGAGTCTATACAAGGTGACGGATAGCACACTGAACTGCTGCACATGTGGACAGCCCATTAGCTGTGTCCTACCAACTTCCCACCTCTCTACCAATGACACGTGTAGCCTGAGGCAATATAGACGCAGAGGTGGTGTTTCCTTCCCCTGGTGTACGAATTTCGCTTTTTTGGAACTCAGAGGCTGCAGTTGTTAGCTGGCATGATGAGACAAAAGAGACACTTCCAGTTGTACACAAGCTACAATGGCAAATGCTTACTCCTTCAGGTCTTTTTGGTAGAGCTGGGGGAAAGAGGCCAAATCAAGGGAAAGTCATGAAAAAAGGAAGAGGAGGGAAGTAGAGGAGCTGGAGAATAAAAGAGACAGCGGACTAAAGTATTTACCTTGGCCATGTCCACTAGTATCTCAAAATCTACCAGCAGCTCATGGACATCCCTGTTAAAGACCACAAGCTCTGCCTTGTTCAGGGTGAACTTCTTGTCAGGGTCAGGAGGTGCAATCAGGCTGCCTTTTCCAGCCCCAAAGAGACCATTGCAGGCAACTTCCACGTAGACAGTCAGACTGTAGAAATGAGAAAAATGGAAACAGAAGTCACCAGAGATCAATGCGCAACTCACTGTGTTCTCTGCGTAGAGACTAGGAAACAAGATCTGCCAAAAGCACAGGAACGGTCGGACCGGGCCAGGCCAGTGGCCTGTCTAGTCTGGTATCCTGTCTCTAATGGTGGCCAGTGCTTCAGAGACAGACATATTACACCTACCTAACTGTGCAACACTATCCCACATGGGACAAATTTCTTCCTGATCCTAGCTAGTGAGTAACTCACACCCTGAAGCACAGCAATCAATAAACCTTGTCATTGTATCCTGCCTGATGTTACCTCACGAGCTGAGCAGCCAATAGGTGACAATGCTGCATCACTGGTCCTCACAGCTCTGAGCAGAGAGGCCTGGGCACTTTCCCTGTGTGGTGTGGCTGTGCCAAGAGTACCTCATAGGCCCTCCAACCAGTGCAGGGTGGGGGTTTCCTGAATTTCAGCAAGCATCAATGCTTACCTGTGAGGCTCCGTCTCCTTGAGGCCATCTGTCAGGATATAGCTGTTCTTCTCCCCTTCTTTAGTCAAACCCTGTGTGTCATGACAGGGAGGAGGGACGTTAAAATAGCTCCATGACAACACTCACATCAGAGATGTTAACACAGGTTCAATGGGAACAGCTGCCATTCTGCATCACTAACCCATGACTTGTTGATACATATCAGCAGAGGGGCCCCTTCTGACACATGGCAGATTACCATGGAGTTGTGCGTACTGAGATTGTGCTCACTGTTTGCCTATGGAACTAGTACAAAGACCATTTGCAGCACCCTGCTGAATGAAGATTTTGCTCAAACTCCCTAGGACATGTCTCCATGCCCCCATCAAACACACACGAAAAACATCGTGGAAAGGGTCGGCTTCTCCTGGAGAGCTGCTGCAACCCCAGCGTTAATACCAATCCCATGGGTATTCCATGCCACAGACCAACGGTCAGGAATATTGGATTAAAAACCTCACAAAACAGGGAAGTGCTATATAATTAGAGGAAATTAAAATCCAGTCTGATTCAAACCATGTAACAAATGGCAGGGAATTCCTACAGCCCCGTTATAAGGGGCTGAGACAGGACATGTCATGGAAACAGCATTGATTGCAGCACTGTCTACGACGTACTTCATAAAAATCTAGCATTGGCACAGGCACTTCCTCTTACCTGAACCGGCTGCGCATCCCTCCACACCATCCCTTCCCCATCGCTTTCCCACAGGAGATGCACTTCCTTCCCCGCCCATTCTCTGGGGATGCTAAGCTCCACTTTAAACCAGCAGGTCCACCACCTAAAAATGACAGGCACATACACTTCTGAACTGATGTTGAGCCATTAATGATTAAGCATTTCCCTATGAAAGGTTAACATGCACAAGACACTACAGCCTCAGCAGAATCTCTAAGGAGGTCTGTGGGGAAATCACGTAGTATGTACAGACACCAATGCACAAACACACACAGGAGACAATCCCTCCAGGGCTTGCTTTTATTTTTTCCTAAGAGTGAAAGATGCTCAATTGACAGCCCCATAAACAGAGATCTGCTCTGTATAGATCAGGTACGATAGGGCATGGTCAGCAGCAGTACAAGTACGCTCAGCCTCCACCCATACACATCAAGCCAGACCC